ATGAGGGTGGAGATGAGAAATCTCTATACAATTTTGGTCTCTAAACTTTGAGGTAAGAGACAAGATTGGTAGACCTAGACGTAGATAGGATATTAAAATGAATCTTCAAGCTATATGGTGCTAAGGCGTGTCCCGACCGGACTCAACACCCTCGTGACAGGGCAATGAGCCTTCGGTTCCGTAAGATACGCGGAGTTTGTTGACGCAGAATTGGATTTAAATTTCCCAGTGTCTACAACCGCTTCCAGCAACCCAGATTCTGGCACTGAAACCAGGGCTTCCTGAGGTCAACTAGGGGTCATTCGCCGGCCCGTCCGCCCTCGGGTCGACCAAGACATCAACAAAGAGTAGTAATTATAATCGATTCAGTGGAGCACACCATCGCTTGTTTCTGTAATTAATGTCCGGGCTAGAACAGGTTTTCGGGTGTCGGTTCGGCAGTAATTACCCGATGAAGTCGCAACAGGACCGCCGTAACCTGGTCATGACGTTGATCTGAAGTCCGTTTCAAACGGTCACTCGACCGTTCGTTTCGCTCGAGTGAAAAACTGCCTTCTTCAGATAGTGTTTCCTCGGTGCTGAGGACTTTGGTGGGACCTTGGCCAAAATTTATTTGTGGACAGAAACATTACGCACGCAGAACACACGAAATGCATACATTTGTGGATAGAAACAGTACGCACGCAGAACACACGAAATGCATACAAGAATTTAGTTATAAAACTTAAGGAAAGAGACCACTTGATGGACCTAGCAGCAGATGGAAAGATAATATTAAAAATTGATCTTGAAATGAAACATGAGGCGAGGATGTGGAGATGATTCGACTGATTCAGGAGTGTCCAAAAGCGGGTTGATATTCGTGTAGAATAAAAGAACTTAAATTCTTTGACGAGCTTAGACCCCCACTGGTATATGATCGTTTAAAACAGGCTTTTTAGACACGCTGACATGACCAATTTCTCCACGTTCTGAATATAAGAAACAGCCAGGTTGAAACAATTAAGTATAAAAAATCGTCCTTAATTATAAGAAACTTCTTATTCTTCTTCCTTCAGCAGGTAGTAATTTCGCGAAACTTCGTACTGTAAATTACGATGCGTCCAGACGAGACAAAGAGGGCACTGGCAAAAGGTCGCCGAGGGCTTCCTGCCTGTCGGAATGCGAAGTGGGGGCCAATTTGGGGCACTTTTTAAACGTCTTATTGTTAGCTCCGCGAAGATAATCCATTGTAGAAGCTGCTTTATAAGCCACGCTCCTTCTTACGCGGTACGTGCAACATCTATCCGTCACGAAATTACACGCGCAACGTCTGGTAATTTTCAAAAATGAACGAAACGTTAAGACGTCAGCTGCTACGACGCTTCAACATTTTTTTGAAACCCAAACCGACCTTGAATTACACACCTGTCGTATTCTGCAGTGCAGAAATTCCCTCGCGAAATTAATTCCACTTATTTGCTGTGATCTTGACGATGAGGGTTCGATCACCGTAAAGATTTTTCCATCTCCACGCGGGATTTTTACCTCCACGCCCTCTAGCATCAGCATCTCTAACCTCACCGTACTTACTCTTCAATATTAATTACTAATTTAGAACAAGTCCTCAGTTCTGGAGCTTGGTTTCCCAACCAGTCAATAAATTTCCCGCCTTCTATGGAATCTTAGGTTTACTACTGTGCTCACAAGAGCCCGCCACGAGGCAACTGAACCCAGTCCACTTTATTTCCTCCTGTTTCTTAAAGATCCATTTTAATATTATACTTCTGTCTCTCAAGGGTATACAGTTTTGCTTACTTTCACATCACTCACAAGAGACAGACTGCAAAAACCTTGCGAAAGTGAAGTGTTGACTGTTGCATGAAAGCAACGTCGAAGATTTATTATTTAATGACTTCGTTCTCCATTTGGTACGCACTCGATGTTTGTAACATGGTTAATAATTTGGGTTTGCACGTGCGTTCCTACCATTTAAAATTATCTTTCCTTTGTACTCGGTACCAATAAGGGTCAATTCGATACGGTGATAAATTCAGAAAACGTCTCTATGGGTCTCAGACACAGCGGGTTGTCTCGGGACCCCTCATAAGGGCTCGCATCGGCCGGCCTGCCACTTCTACATTGACCTGTCCACGGCGTTGAAAAAAGACGCAGGTAGCTTCAGTGGGTGGGTGCAGTGCCACCATGTTCCAGGGGAGTACAAATTACCAGGGGCAAAGTTCTGCTTCAAGCATCGATATTCCCCGCCGTCGGACACAATTCGGAGTCCGTTCCATCCGCCTCTGATCCATCTTGACGTCATCGTCCAGTCTTCGTTCCCTTCATCAGAGTGGGCAGTTTCAACACCAAAGTTCTGCATACATTCCTTGTTTCCCCAGTCAATCCTGGGCCCTCTGACTAGAATTTAATATATAATTTATAAATTAATATTAAATGTACTTCGTGTAATTTTT